TGTATCGTTGGTAAATTTTCATCCTCAAACTAGTAGAATCTTCAACTTAACTATTAGCATCTCTTTTTATTGCGAATAACCACTCCAATCTCAACACTCCTGCTCTTCCTTTTTGTTCTTCTATACATTTATTTTCAAATGTCACAATCCTTGGAGATCCTAATCTGCAGGAGATCTAATTGGCTTTGTATCGTTGGTAATTCTTCATCCACGAATTATTAAAATCTTTTACTTAACTCCTTCGTAGACCTCATTAAAGAGCGTAAGAGTGATGGTTCCTTTTCATATATCTCTTCATTTGTCATGGTCAATGCAACTAGATGTTTACTTCTATTGCTTCTTAACTTTATGTTCAGGAAAGAGAATTTAGCTATGATGTGTGTTTGTATAACATTGTAAACCTTTTTGTTTTGATAAAATGTTTCTGTTTTCTTGACAACCCCAGATCATTGCCAAGGTATAATGCGATTGGTGAGTAAATCTCATTGATTCCCTCTTGTACTTTCTAGGCGTTTGCAAGAGCACAAATATGTCCTAGGCATATCCCAAGAAACTCCATAAAAGGTTCAAATTATAGAATTTCTTTTCTATATTTTCCAAACAGGCAGCGGTACAAACTTTGATTTAATTGTTACTAGTGGGTTTACGTGCGTTGCACATAGAAATGAAAATAGGCAATGGCATAAATATTATGGTAAATTTTCCATAGTTAAAAGGACATACAATGTAATAGTTACGTGCGTTGGACGTAGAAATGAAATAGGCAATGGCATAAATATCATGGTAAATTTGCCATAGTTAGAGGACATGCAATGTAATAGTATTTTGATATGCAATAAATGTTCACGCAACTCATCACATCTTGCAGTGGGAGATTGCATAAATATGCAATCAAGCCCCAAGAATTTCATGTATGTAACAAACCCCAAGTAAATAATGCACCATAAAGCTGTGCGGGTATGTTTGGAAAAACAAGAATTAAATATTTAGAGATTTGTAAATTTGAATAAAGGCCTTGTTGGCTTTTTATATGTTAGATTATATTATCTTAACAATTTCTTTTTTGTGCCTGTTTGATTGTTTACCAATAATTCCAAACTTTCATAAATTGGATATTGCGATAAGGCATATAGACCAGTAGAACCATAATTTGAGAAGACTTCCCAAAATTAATCCACCCAAAATTAATCCAACAATGGCTGTTTGCTATAACCAAGACTTTGAATCCAATAATTGCTTAGCAAGGAAGCTCGAGTAGGTGAGGTGAGGTACCTTCTAAATCTCACACTTTCTCTATCTAAGTATAGAAGAGAGAATTTGGTTTGAGAGAGAAATTGTAGGAGAGAAGATTCATCACAACATTGGGGTGTAAGACATCAAAGGGAGAGAGAGAGAGAGAGAGAGAGAGAGAGAGAGAGAGAGAGAGAGAGAGAGAGAGAGAGAGAGAGATAGTATACTTACTTCGTTACGTTCGGTTAGGTTAGTTAAGTTAAACGTTAAACGTAAACGTAAAGTAAGTAAGAAGAAAGTAAAGAAAGAAAGTAA